TTATTGTAACTCTTTATTATCAGGGTGTACCAAGAAGTCAGTCAAGTGGCTTCAGCTGATTCAAAATGCTGCAGCTCGTGTACTAACCAGAGTTAGGAAAAGGGACCACATTACTCCTGTTCTGGCTGCCTTACACTGGCTCCCTATAGAACACAGGATAGAATTTAAAATTCTTCTTCTCGCCTACAAAGCCCTTAATGGGCAGGCGCCATTTTACCTTAAAGAACTCATTATACCCTACTGTCCTACTAGGGCATTGCGTTCCAAGAATGTAGGATTGTTGGTTGTTCCTAGAGTCTCTAAAAGTACAATGGGAGCCAGAGCCTTTTCTTATCAAGCTCCACATTTGTGGAATCAGCTTCCAGTTTGTGTTCGGGCGGCAGACACCCTATCCGTTTTTAAGAGTGCGCTTAAGACCTTCCTTTTTGATAAAGCTTATAGTTAGGGCTGATTAGATTCAGCCCCTAGTTTTGCTGATATAGGCTTAGTTTGTCGGGGGACATCTTACTTCTTCCTCTCTCTGTCTATACCTGTGTACTCTCATGTTCCGATTAACCCAGCTTCCCCAAATGTCTTTCTTTTTGGTGTCTATATACGCCGGGATCCGGAGTCATGGATGATCCTGCGCTCCTCTGTCCTGCATCGCGAGCCCTGGATCTTGAGTCGTGACTGTGGTCCTGGATCATAAGTCCTGGATGGATATCCTCGTGGTTTCATCTTCCTATTATACACACATGCATTTCCAAACATTTGGACTACCTATGTTGCAAATGTATTATCTTTTCAATTTACACACGGCATCTATTGCACGTCTGTCCGTCCTGGGAGAGGGATCCCTCCTCTGTTGCTCTCCCTGAGGTTTCTCCCATGTTCCCTTTAAACTGTGGGTTTTCTCCGGAAGTTTTTCCTTGTACGATGTGAGGGTCTAAGGACAGAGGATCTAAGGACAGAGGGTCTGAGGACAGAGGGTCTGAGGACAGAGGGTCTAAGGACAGAGGGTCTAAGGACAGAGGATCTAAGGACAGAGGGTGTCATATTGTCATACTGATATTCTGTACAAACTGTGAAGTCCACTGAGACAAATGTAACATTTGTGATATTGGGCTATACAAATAAACATTGATTGATTGATTGATATGTTTGTTAGTTAATATTTCTGCTGTAGGATTTAAATATATAAAACCCATTTAAAAAAGATATTCCCATATCCAAATCTTTCCAAAGTATTAAATAGGTAGGACCATTCCACCTTATCAAAAGCCTTTTCGGCGTCTCCAAGCCTTGAATCATATTAAGGACCCTCCTAACGTTGTGGAATCCTTGGCGACCCAGAATAAACCCATTTGATCCCTGTGTATGACACTGGGTAGTGTTTCTTGTAACCTTCTCGCTAAATCTTTACATACATTTTTGAGGTCAGAATTTAGTACACTTATCGGTCTCATATGTTCACATCTGTTGCTAGGCTTTCCTGGTTTTGACAGTAGTGTTATTAACGCACCCAACACTGGGTAGGTTACCACTAAAGAACCACTAAACAGTGGTTTAAGTAATTTTGTTTTACATTTTTTATACAAGTCTATTGGTATACCATCTGGTCCTGCTAATGTTCCTGCTTTCATACCGTTTATAGTGATTCTTATTTCTTCCTCATTAAGATCTGCCTCTAGCATCTCTGCAAACTCCTTAGAAATAGATGGAATATTCAGCCTGAAATGTTTTTTGGGTCTGGGGGTCATATTTGACTTGGGATTGATACAGATTTTCATAATATTTCCTAAATTCCCTGTTTATTTCAGTAGGGTCTATTCTTGTGTCATCGTTATTGTTAATAATGGAAGTGATGTTCTTCCTTGTTTCAAGCTGTTTGATCTGCCACGCTAAAAGTTTGCCAGGTTTTCCCCATGCTCGTAGAATGTTTGGTTGAGCCTAAGCATGCTGGATGCTGCCCTGGCTGCCGATCATTTATTATATTAGGCTAAGAGCAATAGTTATTTTTCTACTTCAGGGTTTTTTTCCCCTATACCTGGTCTTGAAGAGTTTTAATTTTGGACTCTAGCTTCTGTCTTTTCTGGCGTAACTCTCTGGATTTGGATGCAGTATAACTAATTATGTCCTCTCATAAAGCCTTGAAGGCATCCCACTTGATACATGCCGTGTGTAGTATTATCCCTGAAATAATTATCTATCTCTGTCCCCACATATAGAGACATAGCCCTTTCTGATTTAAATTCCATCTGGGTGGATCTCTAACAAGGTTCTCGTCCATGTATAGCATACAACATATTCCATGGTCTGATATGAATATACTGCCATAGTAACAGTCCTGTATTTTTTAACATAACGTTGCAGAGATTAAAAAATCTATCCGCGAATATGTCTGAAAAGTACTTGAGTGAGACGAGTAAGCAATATCATTAGGTTTCAGGTGTCTCCAGATGTCTAACAAATGTAACTCTTGAATTAAATGTTGAATAGTTGTTCCACTTCTAGTGTGAGTTTGAACACCTGTAGATCTGTCTGTGGTTGGATCTAGTGTACAGTTCCAGTCCCCTGCAATTATATATTCTCCTGGGAGAGATGCAAGCGTAAGAAATACAGTACATTTGTAAAAAAGCCAGGCTCATCTGTATTGGGGCCATATGTGTTAACCAAATTCAAAGTAACTGAGAGCAGTGATCCCTGGATAACCACATGTCTACATTACATATCACTTGTTAGACGCTTTCATCCAAAGCGACTTACATACTCAACACTGTGGGAAATCCCCACAGGAGCAATTTGGGATGAAGTGTCTCAGGGACACAACGACATGCTGACTGCAGTGGGGTTTGAACCTGTGCTCCCCTGATCCGAAGACCAACGCACACTGTGCCACTCAACTACCAAATGTATCCTTAATTACATTAGAAACTTGAAAGGGCACTGATTTGTGGATAAGAGTCATGACTCCCCTAACTTGTGATGTAAATGACGATGCATAAATGCTCCCCAGGTTGCATTGTTGGGTCTCGTGTGCCTCATCTTCCTCTCGACAATACATAGAATCTCTACAGGGTTCAGGTCAGGCGAGTTGAGTCTCCAAATTCTGACTATTATCTCAACATTTCTAACTTTTTTCTGAAAATCTCATAATTACTTTTTTCTCAAAATTCTGACTTTGTTTCTCAAAATGTTGACTTATTTTCTGAAAAATGTCAGATGATAGAAAGGCAACAGTAACTCAAATAACCACTTCTTACAACAAAGGTATGCAGAAGACCTCACAGCTGTTCTCTCTGTAAACATCGCATTGCGATGAAAGCAGTTAATAAAATAATATCCAGGGGATGCATGCAGAGCTGTCATTGGCGGAGATAAGTCCGGCCGTGCGTCACAACTCTTTGAAACATCGCTGTGGCCGGAAATACACCCGCGGAGGATCCATCAGTGTCTCCTCGGTTAGAGCTCCTCCAGAGAGCCTCCTCTCTCCTCGGTTATAGCTCCTCCAGGGAGCCCCTCTCTCCTCGTTTATAGCTCCTCCAGAGAGCCTCCTCTCTCCTCGGTTATAGCTCCTCCAGAGATGCTCGATCCTCGAAGTGCATTTAGGGAAATGAGATGTCCTTCAACACGGCGCGCTGAAATTCATTTCCGGGTCACTAGCGGAGGAGCGAGGATTCGGGGAGTCGAGGAGGGGTAATATTAGTGAAATGAGAAAGGGCCTGTGTCTTACTTTGAGAACCGTGTGCAGTGTTTTGCTAAAAGTGCCAAGTTGAATTGCAAATTTGGTGCAGAGCAGAAAATGTGTTTAGAGTTTTGGAGATTTGAGCTGAGGTTTTGCTCTTTGAGGGTGAGATTAAATCATTTTGCTTCATGTGAGATTTTAGTGTTCGCCACTGAAAAAAACTGTAATTGTGTTTTGGGAAATGGTATGTATGGAATATGTCAAAGAATAGGGTATGATGTTTCTAAAAGTAGTTTGGTACTCTATGTATGTAAATTCACGGAGGAAATTATCTGCTAATATCCAGCAAGAAAGCTTTCACTAGGAAATTGGAGTAAGGAAGCACCACCAACGAAAAACCAATGGGTAACAATCATGGAAGAAATCTTTTTGATCTAATAACTTGACTCATAAATTGAGATTACAAGAAACACAACTCAACAGAAAGTTGGAACATTGGACTGTATACAAGACTCAAAACAAAGACATTTGACTGGAACAATAGCGAACAGATACATGTAACATCTAGGGAGAGATTCCCAGTTAAGAACCCTAAGACCTTTTTTCCTCTCGCAGCTGCTGCTTTTATATCATACCAACAGAAGCAGAAGTGAATACACACCAACAGACCCATGTATGTGGAGAAGAGTCAATGCTTCCAGGTGTGAGACTGGACATGTCCCGACTGGCCTCAAAGACTAAACAAAAGCTTACAGTAATATCCCATTGAGTCAGGGGCCTCCTGCTGTGAGAGTAAGGGTGTCTTCCCTCTGCTGAATAGTGACACCTTTAGTGATAAGCTATATCAGACCTTACACTCTTTCACGTCAGTTTAACAAACCGTGGACATTTAGTATATAAGTATAGAGCTATGTGACATATCATGCATTTTACGTTGTGGATTCTACGAAATTATATTTGACTATTATCTTTTGTTTTAATTATATAACCCAATATGGAAACCTCCTCGGTCTCTGGTTGTAAATGTTGCCGGATCTGGTCCTCTCTTTACTTGGACCAAACATTTTTTTTATCAAAAACAGTCTAGTTATCGCATTATATACGACTTACTGGGAATTACCCAAAGAGTTTAAACCTAACAATAATCAATATCTTCAGTGTCAGGTTCAGAAGAGTCTCCAGTCTCAGGTTCAGAAGAGCCTCCAGGGTTGTCCTCAGTCTCTGGTTGTAAATGTCTCTCTGGATCTGAGTTCCTGGCTGGTTCTGGTCCTCCACAGTCCTCTCCATCAGCTTCTGTTTCCAGGTGTTCAGCTGAGCTGCTGGCTGGAGGCTCTGCCTATCTGTTCTCCTCAGTTTGAGTTTGATGAAGCTGTGAGGACTGACGACCAACACACGCATGGCTTTTGACCTGATAACTCCAGGTGAATCTTTTGTCACAAACACTGCAGCTGAACGGTTTCTGTCCTGTGTGGATTCTCATGTGTGTCTTTAAATCTCTTCTCTCCGCAAAAGATTTCTCACAAATTATGCAGGTAAATGGTTTCTCTCCGGTATGAATTATGATATGTCTATTCAGACTTAACTTGCGGCCAAATCTTTTCGCATACTGAGAGCATCTAAAGTGTTTATTTCCAGTCCTACGTCTTGAATCTGGTTATGTTGAAAAAGATGGCTGCCTAGCTGGTGCGGAGGTGAAAACACGCTGCAAACAATTGAGTTATTTTGTAAGAATCCGGGAACTGAGAGTGTAACAATAGGGCGGGTTGACTGCGCAAATACTTTTTTTCTTACAGAAGGTAAAGAAAAGGAAAGGGAAATGTCAACACGGTTCAGCCAGAAAGAAAAACAGAAACAGGCCGGCACAATGAATCCGCCTGAGGCAAAAATACCTTAGGAGGGAGGGGAAGGCCTCTCTGAAATATTAAAAGAAATCAGAGAATTCCGCATGGAAACTGCTGGGAATTTTGGAGTATTGAAGGAGGAAATAAACGACTTGAGAGAAGGCTTCGGAGAGCTGAAAATAAGAGCGGATGCAGCAGAATTAAGAATCGCAGAAAATGAAGACCGTGAAATCGGTATGACAAAAGTACTCCTTCACAGTTTACGCATGCAAAAGCAACTGGAAAATAAATGTGAGGAACTTGAAGGCCGGGAACGACGGAACAACCTGAGGATTTATTCAGTGCCCGAAAAATGTGAGGGAAATAGCATGATGGACTTTGTGGGAAACTTAATACGCGAGAAACTGGATGTGAGCGGCGAAATTCCCATTGAGAGAGCGCACCGGGCAACGGGGCATCTCACCGGAAAACGGGGCATCTCACCGGGCAACGGGGCATCTCACCGGGCAACGGGGCATCTCACTGGGCACAACGACCGTCCCAGATCAATAATAGTCCGCTTCCAAAACTACAACGTGAGGCAAAGGGTGCTACAAGCCGCCTGGGCAAAGAAGGACATTAGGGTGAAAGATTGCAGGATTTTCTTTGATGAGGACTTCACCACCCAAGTGTTCAAGGAGCGCGCAAAATACAGACAAGTAAGGAAGCAGCTCCAGGAAAGAAACATCAAATCCCGCATTCTGTTCCCTGCTAAACTGAAATTATTCGAGAAAAACGGAAAAGTCAGGGTGTTTAACAACCCACAAGATGCGGCACAGGGTCTACTGGAGTATGGTGTCAACATGGAGAGTCCAGCAGGAGAACCGGACTTGGAATCTACTCTTCAGGCTTCAGGATGGCAGACACACCACTCCAGGAACCGGAGAACCCCAGGATGTGAGCTGATGTCGGACGTAAAGACATTAATTGACTCGCTTGATCGGCATGAAAGAGCAAAGGAATGAACAGGTATGTGTGGAGGGAGTTAACTGCAGACGTACATGGAAAACAATAACAACACATAAATGACTGAGCCACTCGGAATCTTTTCCAGATTTGACAACACAGAGTATAACATGTACAATTTTGATTATGATATCGATTCAGAGAATCATGTGTTTAATCATATAAGTGACTCGTGTAAATATTATACCGATGATCAATTTAATGACAATGTTGGACTTGAAAATACATTTTCTTTAATACATTTCAACTGCAGGAGTCTGTATGCAAACTTTAATAAGATCACTGAATACCTACATACATTTAAAAGTAAATTCAAAGTAATTGCCATATCGGAGACTTGGCTAAATAAAGACGAAGTCACTGATTTCCAAATTGAGGGTTACGTGCTACACCATATCAACAGAACCAATAAGAGAGGAGGGGGTGTGGCTCTTTATGTGGACAGCGTCCTAAAATGCACACTGGTTGAAAAAATGTCAATTGTGATTTAATGGCATGCATAACTATAGAAATTGAAATGGAAAGGAAGAGAAATGTTGTTGTGACTTGTGCATATAGAGCACCAGGATCAAATGTAGAGCTTTTTAAAGATAGTTTAGGAGTATTAATGGATGGCCTAAATGAAAATAAAACATGTATTATTTGTGGGGATTTTAACATCGATCTTCTAAATGTATCTAAACACAAAACAACTTCTGATTTCCTGGATGCTTTGTACAGCAGGGGGCTTTATCCCCTAATCACTAAGCCCAGTAGAATAACATCAACTTGTTTAACATTGATCGACAATATCTTTACAAATGTCATGGAAAACAGTGCTAAGAGTGGGCTAATAATAAATGACATAAGCGACCATTTACCTGTATTTGTAGCATATGATTGGCAATTAAAGAAAAAGAAGGAAGAGACTCGCAGTAGATATGTCAGGGTAAGGACTGCTGAAGCAAAAGACAAATTTAGGAGTGACCTCTTAAAGGAAGAGTGAAGAGGGGTTTATGTAGAAGATGTAAATGCTGCATATGAGTCCTTCCTAACAATCTACATATCACTGTATGACAAACATTGTCCCACTGTACTCGGTACATATAAAGGTACTTATCATCAAAAGCCTTGGATAACCAAGGGCTTACAAAATGCTTGCAAGAAGAAAAATAACCTTTATAAAGACTTCATACAATTTAGGACAAAGGGAATTGAAAAGCAATACAAGGCATATAAAAATAAGTTGACAGTTATAATGAGACAAGCAAAAAGAGAATATTATAATAATATGTTAAAAGAAAAGAAAAATGATATCAAGGGCACATGGAAAATCTTAAATAATGTTATGTGAAATAAATCTGTATCCACTGCCTGCCCAGTCACTTCATTGATGACAAAAATAAGGTTGTAAAAAACATGAATGAAGTGGTACATGAATTCAACTCTTTTGTTGTAAATGTCGGACCTAATCTTGCAAAGACTATTCCAAAACAACACGATGGGCAAAAAGAGGATGGCGGAATTGGGGGAAGTAAAGTGTTGCAGTCAATGTTTCTGGGAGAGATAAACGAAATTGAAATTAGATCCATTGTAGACAAATGCAAAAATAAGACTTCGACAGATAGTGATGGGATCGACATGACAATAGTGAACACGACTATTGACTGCATAATTAAACCGCTAAGCTACATCTTTAATCTTTCATTTCAGACAGGTATTTTCCCAGATAGCATGAAAATAGCTAAAGTTATCCCACTTTTTAAAACAGGGGACAAAAGCCAATTTACCAACTACAGACCAGTGTCCTTGCTTTCACAATTTTCAAAGGTCCTTGAGAAATTGTTTGTCCAAAAATTTGATAGTTTTATTGAAAGAAATGAGTTATTGAGTGAGAGTCAGTATGGATTTAGGAAAAATCGATCTACAGCTTTAGCTTTAATGAAAATAACAGAAGAAATTACAACAGCTATAGAAAGAAAGAAATACACAATAGGTGTATTTATTGACTTAAAAAAGGCATTTGACACCATAGACCAGGGGTGGCCAACCAGTCAGAGGTTAAGAGCCAACATTTTGACTATGTTACTGCAAAGAGCCACAACAAACACACAGTCACAGAAGCACGTGCACCCCCCCTCCCTCATTCTCTCTTTTGTTCTCAGCCTTTCTCTGTGCTCCTTCACTTTCTTCCTCCCTTCTCTCTCTCACAGATAAAATGAAAATATAAAACTTCACACACACCGTATACATCACTTCAGGGGACATTACATTGACTTACATGCATTTCCTGGAGACTTATCCTAACCCTAACCATAACCAACACATGCCTAACCCTAACCCTTAACCTTAACCTTACCCTAACCCTAAACCTAACCAAGTCTTCACCCTAAAATTAATGATTGAGGGAGGCGAGTCCCCACACGTGACTGTGTAAACAGATTTAGGTCCCCACAAGTATAGTAATGCTAGGCCACACACACACACACACACACACACACACACACACACACACACACACACACACACACACACACACACACACACACACACACACACACACACAGAGAGACACACACACAGCTCTGCTCAGACAGATTTATTGTAAATGGCACACACCATAATATTGACAGAAATTGAATTAAACCTCTCCTACCAGTATTCAGAGGCCAGTTAACATAACAACATAACAATGAACATTGTGTGCACTCACACACAAACTCTCAGTAAACAAAATTTAAAAGGTTTGTTATCTTACTTTAAATTAGTGAGACTTCTGACATTCCTTGCTTTGAACAATCCTCCTCAAATCTGGCTTGTATTCCGTTGTGGCCACTCGAAGCAATTCTCTCACATGTGTGTCAGTCAGAACAGATCGATGCTTGGATTTCACATGTTTCAGGGTAGAAAACACAGACTCACAGACGGGTGGCGCAGTGGTCTGTGCATCCGATCATCAGATCAAGGGGGAGTGCTGGGGAACTCCAGTTCGAAACCCGCTCCTGCCGCCACTGCGTCAGGCCGTTGTGTCCTTGGGCAAGACACTTCACCCGGATTTGCTCCTGTGGGTATTGTCCACAGTACATGTATAATACCAATGTGTACTTGTAAAAGCGCCTCGATGACCTCGAGGCGTGAAGATGGACGGTGTGGCGCAGTGCGCTGTGCAATGATAATCAGATCAAGGGGTGAAACCCGCCGCTGCTGCGTCTGTAAAGCCGGTGTGTCCTTGGGCAAGACACTTCACCTGAACTTGCTCCTGTGGGTATTGTCCACAGTATCTGACCATTGCATGTATAATATATGTGTAATGTGTGTATATGTAAAGCGCTTTGAGTCATTGAAAAAGCGCTATAATAAATGTAAGGAATTATTATTAATTGTATGTTGACCCAAACATTGAAAGTAGCTTGAGCGCAGCCCGTTTGACGCCACCGCCTCGTCCTTGACTAGCGGGGCTTTCAAACAGTCCGTCTCAGCATTAAAAGGATCGACGAGGAACGTAATCTGTGGCCTTTTCACATGTAGATCATGGAACCGGGTCGCAAAGTTTTCCTGCAGGGTTTCAATCAATATTGCATAACGGGCTGTTTGCTTTTTCCGGTTGGCACCGGTGGCTTGTGCGCTTGCTTTTAGCAGAGAGGGAAAATGCGCTAATTCTCCCTTTTGAAGATGTGTCTTAAACAGTTTCAGTTTGTTAACAAACGCAAATACACTTTGCACTAAGTCAGGCAGCATTTTTAACTTTCCCTGCAGATCCAGGTTCAGTCTGTCCAGATGACACAGCATGTCGACCAAAAAGGCCAGATCCATAATCCACTTGGGGTCTGAGAGCTCCGGATAATCCTTGTCCTTCTGTTCCATGAACAGTTTCACAGCATCCAACAGCTCAAAGAAGCGAGACAGCACTTTGCCTTTAGAAAGCCACCTCACAGTGCAGTGCAGCGGCAGGTCTCCTGGAAGCCCTTGGTCGAGTTCAGCGATGAGATTCTTAAATTGCCTGTGGTTAAGAGCATGCGTGCGGATGTAGTTTACGATTTCCATCACAGGCTTCATGACGTTGTCTAAATTCAGTGATTTGGACACAAGTTGCTCCCGGTGAATGATGCAGTGGAAATTCCAAAATTCGGGAAATGTGTTGTCAGCTTTGCACAGCCCCACAAGCCCGTTCACAGATCCGACCATTGATGGCGCTCCATCCGTGGCTATTGCAGTTAGTTTCTGCTTGGGCACATTTGCTTTCACAAACACATTTATCATTGTTTCTTTTACATCGATGCCACGGGTTCTGTCTTTTAATGGCACAATATCAAGGAGTTCTTCTTTTATAACACAATCCTTTGAGACTGATCGTGCAAATATTGCCAACTGAGGCTTGTCTTGTATCAGTTTTTTGTTTTCTGGAGACAAGATTTCAACCACGTCACTGAGGCATTTTTGAACAAACTCCCCTTCATTGTACGGCTTTTTAGCTTGTGCTATGTTCCAAGCAACTTGATAAGATGCAAGTGTTACGGTCTCCGAGTGCTTCGTTATTTTTTTGAAAAACTGTGTCTGCTTTTCTGCCTGACTTTTCAAGGTGTTTATCTTCTGCTTGCGAAGTTCCGTACCTTTTGGGAAGTCATGGTCGATGTTAGCATGGAGTGAGGTGAAATGGCGCTGAAGATTTGAAGCCTTGAAATGGGTTAATGCTGTCTGGCATATAAGGCAAAATGGCTTGCAATTGCGTTCGATAAAAAAATATGAACTCTCCCACTCTACTAAAAACGTCCTATGTTCGTCTTCATATTTTCGCTTAGCTGTGCATTTCTTCCCTGCCATTTTAGGATCAAACTCAATTCATGGTCAGATAGTGTTTAATACTCGATTCTGATTGGTCAATTCAGAACACGTGACACGTTGTTAATCCAGAACAGACAGACCGCTGTCAAGCAGTTCCTGCCGTTGCTACGTTCAAACAGTAACAACGGACTATTTCTCTTAGCGGATGCATGTCATTTTAAATAAATAATAGCGTACTATTTTTTTAAATCAATAAAAACATTTTCTAAATCTATAAAAGCATTTCAATTAATATTGGGAGTCATATCGTTACTTTGTTGAGAATGTGGCCATGTAATAAGCGGGATAATGGGAAAATAACACCCTTCATGCAGATCTAGACCCCTCCGCTTCGCTCCTGATCAAAATTAGACGGCGGCGCTGTCATCCTCTCATACTAACACCTGACACCACACATACACACGTAGGGAGAGCCGGGACGAAAGTAACGGAGCGATTTTATCCGTGCCCAAACAACTTTGACCGGCCAAATTACGTCAGAATGATCAGCATTCAATACTTAACAGACCTACTAAATATCAGGTCTAACTGTCAGGAGTCCGTGTCTCTCCCCCACACTCACACATATACAATTCAATATGAATTGAACAGCCGCATGAAACTGGCTCTCGAGCCGCATGCGGCTCGCGAGCCGCGGGTTGGCCACCCCTGCCATAGACCTTTACCTATTCATTTCGAAATTACATAGATACGGAGTGAGAGGAGTATTCTAGATTGGTTAAAAAGTTATTTAGATAACAAACAACAATATGTAGAATTTGCTGGTAGTACATCGGAGTGTATGAACATAGAATGTGGCGTCCCGCAGGGCTCGGTTTTAGGGCCTAAACTTTTTATGTTGTACATCAATGACATATGAAACGTCAACATTATTGCAATTTGTGTTGTTTGCAGACGACAAAAATGTATTTTGTTCTGGAGATGACTTAAACATTTTAGCAAAGTGTATTAGACATGAAATGGTCAAACTTAAAAGATGGTTTGATGAAAATAAGTTAACCCTAAATTTGAATAAAACAAAGTTTATGGTTTTTGCTAATAGAAAAAAAGATGAAAACATTTCACTGTCCATTGATGGAGTTTCTATTGAAAGGGTTTCTGAATTTCGATTCTTAGGTGTGACGCTGGATGAAAACCTGACATCACACATAGCACATGTTAAAACCAAAGTGTCTAGGAATATTTCTGTTCTAAACAAGGTAAAGTATTTGCTAGATCACAAGGCATTGAGGATGTTGTACTGTTCACTCATTTTGCCATTTTTCATTTATTGTATAGAAGTGTGGGGCAACACGTATATGAGCAACATAAAGCCATTGTCAATATTACAGAAAAGGGCAGTAAGAATAATTCATAAAGCTGACTCAAGAGAACAACAGACTGTTTTTGAAGTCAGGACTCTTGAAACTCAAAGACAGCTGAGCTCAGACATCATCAGTAATGCTCAGAGCAGAATGTTACCGGCATATTTACAACAGTTGTTTGTTTTTGGATCAGACAAGGAAGACCACAGAAGGAAATTAAATTTTAAGCATCCATATGCAAGGACTACTCTTAAACAAATGTGTATTTCGGTAGTTGGTGTACAATTGTGGAATTCTCAACAGAAGGATCTAAAGAATTGTATATGTATTTTTCAGTTAAAGAAGTTGTATAAATGAAGAAAGATGGGACTATATGAAGCAGAATGTGAATAAGTCGATGTACTCTGTCCTTTATGTTTTTGATGTCTTTGATGTGATGTCTCCTCTGTATTTGCGGGTCCCATTGCCATTGTTATTGTTGTTATTGTTATTATCATCATGCGTCGCTTTCCACCTTCTTCTCCAGTAGGACTCAGATGAGGGTGTTGCACTTTTCTTTTATTTTCCTTATACATGTGATGTTTTGGTGTTTTGTTTCTTTCCGTTAACCGTCAAGTGGGAAATAAGTATTTTTTTTTGTGTGTTTCTCTTAGTATCCTAAGATACTGTTATGTTTGGCTGTGACATTTTTTTTATTATTATGAAGGGCAGACCATCTATTTGTATTTATTTGTTTTTTTTAGAAAGGGGCAGGTCACATAATATTTTATTCTCCCTGCTCCTTTTCGCTAAATGGTAGTCATGTTTTGTGGCAATTATTGTACATTTGGTTTTGCGTACCATGAGCGGGACAAATAAAAATGAAATGAAATCCCTGACAGGGTCTTGTTTAGTTCTCTGAGAGTTTGAACCTGGTTCTCTGGTCTCCTTCCAATCTCCACTGTCTCCAGTGTCAGGTCCAGAAGAGTCTCCTGGGTTGTCCTCAGTCTCTGGTTGTAAATGTCTCTCTGGATCTGAGCTCCTGGCTGGTTCTGGTCCTCCACAGTCCTCTCCATCAGCTTCTGTTTCCATGTGTTCAGCTGAGCTGCTGGCTGGAGGCTCTGCCTCTCTGTTCTCCTCAGTTTGATGAAGCTGTGAGGACTGACGACCAACACACTCATGTCTTTTGACCTGAGATCTCTGTGTGAATCTTTTGTCACAAACACTGCAGCTGAATGGTTTCTCTCCTGTGTGGATTCTCATATGGGCCTTTAAATGTCCTCTCTGATTAAAATATTTCTTACAGACGGAGCAGCCAAATGTTTTCTCTCCTGCACTACGTCTTGAATAACTGACACGGTCTTGTTTATTTCTCTGAGAGTTTGAACCTGGTTCTCTGGTCTCCTTCCAATCAGCACTGTCTTCAGTGTCAGGTTCAGAAGAGTCTCCAGGGTTGTCCTCAGTCTCTGGTTGTAAATGTCTCTCTGGATCTGAGTTCCTGGCTGGTTCTGGTCCTCCACAGTCCTCTCCATCAGCTTCTGTTTCCAGGTGTTCAATTTGTATTTGATGAAGCTGAGAGGACTGAGGTTTCTCTTCATCATCTTCACTCTTCACAGGGTCAGGAGTGAATGTGGACTTGGTGATATCAGCCTCCTCCAGCCCTTGAAGCTGCTCTCCCTCCTGACCGATCCAGAGTTCCTCCTGTTCCTCTTTAATGTGTGGGGGGGGCTCTGGGTCCTCCTGGTCCAGACTGGAGCTCCACTCCTGCTGCTCAGGGGTAACCTCTTCTTTAACCACCACCAGCTGCTGGACGTCTGCAGGAAACAGGAAACACATATTCAGAGAAACTGTAGAGTATCAGAATTATCCACGCCTTATTTTACATGCTTGCCTATGGTTTTTCTATGTCCCGCCCACTGTGTATTTCTGTTGGATCAATAGTCTGTCAATTACACCTTTTTCTTCCAGACTCCCTGGAGAGTTTCAGGACAACAGGTGAGTCAGTACTGTCGCTGATCTAAAACGTAGTAACACTGCCGGATAGCAAGGCATCGGCCGTTCACTTCGAATTATAAGACACAAATCTGTTTATTTGATACTCTTATACTAAAAGTCTCTTCCTGTATTGCCGTGATGAAATGGAAATGCGCAATAAATGTGTCACTTCAGGTGGAAGCAACGCCGACAGTGTGTATTATTGTATTTATTCTTTTGTCATGTGGTAAACTATGTTCACGGTATTCCTATCCTAAGATGGCAGCGTCAACAGTTTGTGACCTGTCTGCAGAGTCGTGAGCTGAGAACTGGTGTTGGGGTTTCTCAGAGTAGTCGTTTAGCATCTCTCACCGCCTTGCTAAACCTGTACTTGGACTCATACATGACATGTTACTTGTTAGCCGCTTTTATTCAAAGCGAATTACATACTCAATACTGTGGACAATCCCCACAGGAGCAATTTGGGGTGAAGTGTCTCAGGGACACAACGACATGCTGACTGCAGTGGGGTTTGAACCTGTGACCCCCTGATCCGAAAACTAAAACTAGTACTGGGGAATATAAAGAGAGCTGCATTGTTGCAGGACAGTTTGTCTCTGCCTGCCACAGTCTGAGGGAACCGGACTGACCTGATACACCAGCTATCACATCTTATATATCTGATGTATACATATGATATTTTATTTTGTATTAATGTACTATATGAATTAAATGAATCTGTATTCCTTGTAAAAAAAAAAATGTTCTTTCTTAACGTTCAAATTCGTAGCAGTTTGTTTATATGTATTAGGGGTGTTGAAATTAATCGTTTCTACATCGCGATGCAGACGTGGACGATTCTGCATCGATGCAGTAATCAGGGACGCGGGAAGGGGGAGTGCTGAGGAGGCTGCAGCACCCCATCTGTTGCCGGAGAGTTGTAAATGCAATGCCAAAAAGTTCACTAAACAAATCAATACAAACGTTTTATTTTGAGTTACTATTTTAACATGAAGAGCCGTTTGGGAGCCGAAACAGCCGGCGCTTTGAAAGAGCCGAGCCAAATGATCCGGCTCACTGACGTAAAAAGACAGTATCTATAAGGGACGGCTCAACTCAAAATTCAAGCACCCCCCCCCCCGCTCTCAGGGTGGGCGCCCTCTCAGCCCTGGTCTGGCGGAAACACTGACACCAAGGCTTTTCCCGTTCTAGCTCCGTGCTGGAGCTTTTCTGGTTCGGAACCGGTTCTTCGGTTCAGCTCCCGCTCTGTTCACACCGCTCAGAGCCCGACTGGTGCTGCGTCATTGCGTCATCGTTTGCGTCATGACGTAACCGTTTGCGTGCCTGCTTCATAAAGCCAAACCTCGCGGAAACCCCTCACATCGACAACAACAACAATGGCCGATTGTATTGAAGTCGAAACTAAATGGAAGAAATGGGACGACTTTACTACCAACTTTACAGTCGTTACATGCTACATTCAAAAGTTCTTTACGATCATCATCAACTTCAACGACGATTCCGTAGGAGAAAGAAGGTAAATATACGTCCTATTCGACGGTGTTAGAGCTAGCTGTTGTTAGCCTCTGCATGCGCCAAGCTCAAAATACCCAGCTTGGCAGCATTAATTACTTTGGTATAACATTACAACTGATTCTCAATGTTATTTCCACAGATCATGTTGAAGCTGGCGGAAAGGCGGATGTCTTTCAAGACCGATAACTTTTTTGTGCTTGAAACGAACCGGATTCCGGAGCTTAGAGGCTTAGGGTTAGTGAACAGGGAAAAACGGTGCTTTTCAAGCTCCAGCTCCGAACCGGCCCTGGAACCGCATTGGTGTGAAAGGGGTATTAGTGATGCCACATTCAGGACAGTCAGTGTCCTTTTTTCAACAGAAGACCATTGCTAGAAGCTGCAGCGAGACTGCAGAAGCATTAGTTTTTGAGGATGGAACAATTTCACACACAGATATATATTTTTTTATTCTCTGTCAAAGCGTCATTGAGTTTCCTGAAAAGCGCTATACAAGTCTTATTATTATTAGTATTATTATATAGGGGGGCTAGACCTATACAATTGATTTACTTTGGTTTATAATTTAATAAGACATTTATGTTATTGATTTCTGAAGCACTTTTCTAAATAATAAAAAGGGAGTTCATATTTATCTTAGTACATGTATTCATCGATGAAACCAAGATAAAGACAGGAGGGAGTGAGGAGTTTATCAAATTCACAAGTTTAAATTGTTTGTTATTGTTTGTGATGCTAAGGATTTGTTTATTATTGAAATATATACAGAGAGAGAGAGAGTTAGTAAAGACCTGCTCTATGGATCTGAAGCTGAGGCTGTAAAACAGCGTCCAGTAGTTTCCGGTGTCTCTCGTTCTCCTGTTTTGAACGAGACAGTTCCTCCTCGTACTCTGCTATCGTTCTTTCAAACAGAACAAAGATCTCTTCAGCAGCTGCAGTGAGTCGCTGCTTCACCAACGAGAGCAGCACAACACTCATGTTTACTAAATCACCACTTCCCGTTTCTCTCACTCTGTGTTGCTAGCGTGTTACCAGCTAGCATGCTAAGCTAGCTTCTAGAGTCCGAGCTAAAGGCTTCAGAAGAAAGAGCACAAAGTCAGATGTTCATCCAGACACACAGACGATGGATGGATCAGCTGCTCACACACACTTCATCAGGAACACCGAGAGAGAACCATGGATGGAGAGAGAACCCACGAAACACGATCTGGTTCCGTTAGAAAGAGCGGGATCATCACTTCCGGTGCAGAGGACTTCAAAATAAAAACGGCTATGATTTCCCCTTAGACAATACCTAAACCTCTAAGATACACACAGACATGGAGCTGCGGAGAGAAACCGGTTTATTTAATATTATATGTGTTTCCCCTCTTCCTGTAGTATTATATTTGTAAGAAGAGAAAGGTGAAGAGAGAAAACCGTATGTTTTATTGTGAAGGCCAGCACCTGAAGTTGTGTTTCAGGGTCTCCGTTAGCATATTAGCATGTTAGCTGGGGGTAATGAAGAAACCCTGGTTTCCGGTCGAATTGTCCAAAAATCAGCTCCTCTCGTCTTTTCGTCTTGGTTAGGAAAAGACAAGAGGAGCTGATTTTTGGACAGTTTGTCCACAACCTAACTCTCTGCATGAGTTTTAAATAGTACGGTGGTTTATGACCCGTTTGAGAAGGATGAGGACACACCGGATAAAAGCACCACATTTGTAGGGGTCACGTAGGGTCCGTGACGTCACCCATAGGATTCTGCAGAGTTGCCGTGAAGCCCTTAGTAGGCGGAGTCGGCCACTAACTGCTCGACAGTGACGTCAGAGTTCAACTCCCGCCTGCTCCAAATAAGGGCAAAGAGGCGGAGCCGAGGCGGGACCTGCTGCCACCAAGCTGGAAGTTCCAGAGCTAGCTGAAGCTACCAAGCTAAGCTAACATGCTCCCCATCTGCACACTGCCGTTGTCAGTGTCACTACCCGATCTGCAGCTCTGCCCGATCTGCAGTGCGCATGTGCGAGATGGTCCGCCATATTGGACAACTCCGGACGGCAACTCAAGTAGGACAACATTGACACAGTGGCTTTTGACAAAGCTCAAAAATAAAACGAGAGAGAGATGAGTTATTGTTATTACAACGTGACTTCACTATTATTTAACAACTCTTTTTATTGGGTTCTTTTATTTGGGGTTAATTATATTGTGTGGTGACACGTTATTGGACATAATTCACCTTGCTTATTGTGTTGCCACACGGACCCTTTAGTGGGGAACACCTGTAGCTTTAGCTGCCATTCCTGCTAGCTCATCATGGCAGAGCAGTGCATGTGTTAACCTCTCTGAAGTAATGGATAATAAAGATTGGAACTCCATTCTTAATACACCGCCTCCGACTCTCTTTTCACGGCACTACAATTGTCAGAATAAGTGAGAAATGGATTTAACTTCTGTTAGACAGCTATCATACTGAATACATATTTACTGTGAATGTGTGCAAAAATGTATGGCATATAGCTGTCTAACAGAAGTTAAATTAATTTCTCACTTATTCTGACAATGTACTTAACCCCAAATAAAAGAACCCAATAAAAAGAGTTGTTAAATAATAGTGAAGTCACGTTGTAATAACAATAACTCATCTCTCTCGAGTTTTCCTTTTGAGTTTTGCGAAAAGCCACTGTGTCAATGTTGTCCTACTTGGGCTGCCGTCCGGAGTTGTCCAATATGGCGGACCATCTCGCACATGCGCACTGCAGATCGGGCAGAGCTGCAGATCGGGTAGTGACCAGGGCCGTATCTACCATTGAGGTCCCCGAGGTCCGGACCTCGGTTATATTTTCCGAACTGTGTATATAACAAAACTTGTGAAATAACGGCACTAAACGGGGTTCTTTGTAGTACTTCCATTTACTGACGAAGGGGGCGCTGTTGCGTAACTACGCAGCCCCGATCAAAGCAAACAGAAGAAGACCACATGTATCAACAAACCACAGCAGCCCGGGCTTGTATCGTTGCAGCGGAGGAGATGAGGTATCTGAGTTCAGCGAGCTGCTTGTGTTTCTGTTCCTCACAGGACATCATATGAGCAGCAGATCCTGTGTGAACGCTCTACGTTAGTCAGTGGACGTCCGACAACATGCACACTAACTTATATTGCTCTATAGGCTATACTTTGGTTTAAATTGCGTGAATAAATTAGCTAGAGAGCTAATGTTAATTACATTCATCCAATGTCAGAATGATTACCTTTTAACAAACGTTGTAATGCTTTTCTTTCATTTCAATTTGAGTAAAACATTGAAGATATAACATTGTATTGTGTTCTTTTGACACTGACTCAGATATAATGAAGAGACTACGTCAGTCGAAGATCAGCTTCGGCAAGGAAGAGACAGGACAGGCAGAGAGAAAGAGAGAGAGAGAAAGTGATGGAAGTCAGGGAGGAACTATGAGGGGCCGTACAGGCCATAATTCATACTGGTCCTCTCACGCACATACATTCTCCTTTTACATACATATATTTTCATCCTTACATACATACATTCTCCTTTTACATACATATATTTTCACTCTTACATACATACATTCTCCTTTTACATACATATATTTTCACTCTTACATACATACATTCTCCTTTTACATACATATATTTTATAATATGCATGTCTGAAGAGAATATATGTATGTGAGAGAAGAATGTATGTATGTGTGAAGACAATATATGTATGTGTCGTGAGAGAAGAATGTATGTAGGCCTATGTGAGAGAGAAAGTATAGTGGAAACGGAAGGAGTATGGTTGAAACGGAAGGCAGGTCATTCTTGCGCTGTGATTGGCTCAGAAGGTCGAGCGGGGCGGGCTCATGTTCAGAACTTCTGATTCAAATCAACATGATGGAGGGAGAGGGTTAGGGTTAGATGACTCCGTGTATCTACGGACCACTTGTTTTTCTTTATTAAACAAGTAAACGGAAGAGTGTCTGCCTTACTAAATGGTCTAATGGTCATTGTAGCGGGGGGGGGGGGCGCGATACTCGCGGAAGTGATTTCAAAACAAAAGCACTCGTTTGCTTGGAACGTTGAACATAATTATAAACAAGGGGGAAAAAGGTGAATTTAGCGATCACAACGAAAACGGCCAAGACACACATTGAGCCCAGAAAATGAATGTTATTAAGGCTGTAAATATAATAAGCATGTGTCTAAAATGGACAACATTGTTAGGAGATTTAAACTATACAGCGATTCTGCACTGCGGTCACTCAGCCGTCTCTCGCGTTTGTCTTTTCAAATCAGCTGCTCTTCATATTTTACAAATATTTTTTCCTGAAAGTTCTTAATAAAACTGACACTGTTGGACTCGAGGGCAGAAGAATAAATGGACAACATTGTTAGGAGATTTAAACTATACAGAGAGCCGTTTTTTCAAATCAGTAGCTCTTCATTTTCTTTTTACAAATATATTTTACCACAAGTTCTTCATAAAACTGACACTGTTGGACTCGGTACTAGTTTGACTGCTACTAACAATACATTGAAGTACTTTTACTGTGTACTTTGTGAGAAAGTCCCCTCCATATAGCACATAATCTAATGCATCAGTCCGTCCCAGGCGGGAGTTTATAAACCAAAGAGTAACCGCCCTTACGGCACGCTCTGATAAGTAAAGTGAACGCACCCGCAAGGACACCTGGCCTCCTATTGGTTGAGGGATTTTTACAGGGTTGTTGACTATTTGAGGACAGGGTTTGAGGGAAATAAATACATCTGAACGTGAAATCAATAAATGATGCTCTCAAATGTAAAGACCACGCTCTTGAATAAATATAGGGAATAACCTCCATACACATCCTCCACACATATATTACTCTCACTAAAAAAGATCTAACTTATATATATGTATATATATATATATATATATATATATATATATATATATATATATATATTTCTATTCCATTACCTACTGGCACAGGAAGTCCCGCCTTAAGAAGGAAGTCACTCTCAAACCAGGAAATACACATGCATGACTTGCTCTACTTCCTAACCTGATTTTAAATAGCTATACAATACAATGATGCTATTCAAAGTCATCCTGTTTTCTTTGCAAGTACAGTTTTTCATTTTGGGAGTAAGTAGCAATGAAAATCAAATTAGACATTATTTTAATAATGTCTTGGAATGTATTGAACGAATACAAAGAGAAGGTACAGATTATTTTGTTCATGAGAGGATGTATGGAGAACTTCGTGACCACATTGAAACCTTATCTGGATTTCTGTCAATCTCAAGATTTGCTGAAGATTCAAGAGAGGTATTCAATACATTAGAGTCCTTGCATGGATGTCTTCATTTTTTGCTGACAGCTTATGAAACCAGACAAAGAACCAGGTCTGAGAATAGTTTAGCACTGTTGCCTCCACCTGTCATGACTAGACACCAAGGCAGACCTCGATACAGCATTTCAGGAGAGCAAATATCTCATTTGGTATCCCTTGGAATGAACTGGCAAAGCATTGCAACATGCTTAGGGGTAAGCTGTCGGACTCTCTACAGGCATAGACAGCAGCTTGGCGTTCAGCCACTGACATATGCAACACTATCCAATGACAACTTGAACAGAGTTGTTGGTGAAATTCTTCAGCGCACCACAAATGCAGGTGAACGATATGTGCATGGGAGCTTGAGGTCACGTGGGTTGCGCATTCAAAGGTGGCGTGTTAGACAGAGTCTGCAAGAAGTTGACCCCATTGGACGGTCGTTCAGAAGACGCCATGCAATACGTCGACGAATTTACAGTGTTCCAACCCCCAATCAATTATGGTGAGTACATTCCCAATAGAACAACTTCGGTTGAATCAAGTAGCACAAACTCAGTTGTCAGTTTCTTACAATATGTACTTATATCCTTTATTTGAGTGAAAGTAAATGTAAAACGTAAACCCTTGATTACAAGTATAAGTCCTGCATTCACAGCTTTGAGTGTACAGCAAAATGGACTTAGCATCAAAAGCACAAGAGGTCATTATTAAGAATTGTTTCTGTTAGTTTTAAATTATTTATGCATATCTAACCTTGGCCTTGTTATAGTTTCCCCACTCATGATTTACTCGGATTGTAATTTCTTTCAGGCATATAGATGGAAACCACAAGCTTGTGAGATGGAGAATGGTGTTCCACGGCTGTGTTGATGGTTTCAGTCGAACCATCATATACCTTGGTTGTCTTGACAACAACAGAGCCT